ACAATATATTATGCAACAAAAACCGCGACTATTAAGCTTATCATTTAGCGAGTAAATTTGTAATCAGAGATTTGCCGTTAGTGCAATGGACTAATATTTATTTTGTTGTTTTTTCACCGTTACAAATAATGCACTGTGAGCTAGTAATTTACTCGCTCATCGTAAATCATTCAATTTTATCTAAACTTACAATATTGCATACAACAACAAAAAAAAAAAATAAATAAATAAAAACAAAAAATAAAAATAAAAAAAAAATTTAACAATTAACAATTGTATTTATATGGTCTCTTTTTTCTGCATATTTCTGTTTTTTTTAAGCTTCACTCTACTTTAAGTGAGCAAAAGGCCATTTTATTATCTATAAAAATGTATTTGAATTTTCAGATATCTCCGGAAAGTTTAAAAATCCCAAGTGATTTTGTTTCTGAAAACCAAAACGTTACAACACTCTTTAAAAAAATTTAATACTTTGAATGTACATCCTCTAATATGGTTTTCGATTCATTCATGGAATGCACGTTATAATTGGCCATATTACTGAAGAACGGCCTTAACCTCATTATTGCAACTATACTTTGCGTTCTCGTCAGTTCCTCTCCATACGGGCTACAGGCGTTCTGGACTATTGGGAGGATATGGCTGCACTTTTTTAGGTTGTACAACAACCTAAAAAAAGGGGTTACTTGGAAAAATTTTATTCGAGCTTTTTACCTACACTATTAACAAARAAGTTCTGAAATCTGTGGAATAAAAAATTTTTCAAACTCGGCCATTGCGACATTGCGAATGAAAGTATCTCAAATTTTTTTTTCGAATGGTTATAATCGTAATGGAGAGATCCACCTGGGCCCTATCCTGATGTCCCGATGTGGCCAGCAATTCACTTGTGGCCAGGTACCCAAAGGAGTCTGATGATCAAGCTATTTCTAATGAGGACAACTACTCTTTGAATAGCTTTGAGGGCAAGTTTTGCGAGCTTAAAGCTAGCATTGCCGCTCTGCTGTCGTAGTAAATGCTCATCTCCCTGAAATAAGCAGTACGTGTACCMCCACTTTGGTAGTAGACTCTTCGGCCTGAAAACACTACACTGGTCCGGACGCCTTAAGCCAAGATTGAGGAGGAACTCCTTAGAGAGTCACTCTTTGGACACATCCGAGGTTTTAGCAAATGTAGCCTGTTCGAGCGCCATTTACTAGACGAATACACCATAGAACATATATTTCAATAGAGATCTTTTAATACCATGCCAAGTAGTGCAATATTTTTATAATTCTTTCGATGAAAATATGTTTACAATGCACCTCACAATATAATACAGCCTCTATCATGCCTGACAGTATTGTTTAAATTTTTATCATTCAGAATTTCTTAGGCCATACTAATGGACAACCATTAGATCCAAATAAATTAAACTTGAACTCACCGGTAAAAACTGAAGGTTTCCAAAAATYGTTATCACGAAGAATACACTCTTCGGACTATAGTAAACATCAATAAGTATGGCGTGTTTCCTGGCATTTACGCACTAAAATTTGGTGAAACCAAGAGGTTTCGAATAGTTTGAAGGTGGAYTTTTGCAATGCCAGCTTCCTTCAACTCCGTGGCCATAGTGACATAGCATATTTTGGGGTGCTCCTTGAAACGTCAAAATTTATTATCTACATATCTATGAGGATKTATTTTTCTGGTCCGTACAATACAAGTCCTTAGCCTTGTCGTTAGAATAACTTAACTGCACCGCTACTAAGATTATTTTGAGCTCATATGTTGAAAMATATTAGTTTTTCCTACTTCCGACTCAAAAAATAAAATTTATATTCTAAATTCAACATTCTTTGAAAGAGATCGCTGTGGKGTAAATTCAAGACGATAACTACAAATTCTAGAAAAAACTTGTCAAAAACTACAGAAGTCCAAAGTAAAATGKTGAGAGGAATCACCAAAGTTCTACTATGCAGATATTATTAAAAATTTCTTTGAATRAAACATTAGAATCTAGAGTAAACTCTGATTGAAAGAATATATCTTATTTCATTTACACACTGTTCTATAAATCACAAACCATATACGTATGTCATTAACTAACAATTGTTTTATAATTTTCTTCACTCTCTTTCATGACCTGGCCTTTCAACTATTAAATGGCTGTGTTCACACTTGATTGGCTCTATAAACCAACTGCCACACTTGGATGGCTGACACATGGCTTCGCTATTGTAGCCGGAACGCATACGTCAACGTGACAGTCGCAACAAAAACGCACTACACTATTGTGCCGCGCAGAACGCAGAGACACGTGAACTCGTGGCGGCTGCCAGCATCGCCGTCGCAGCTCCAGAGTTGCTGGAGTCTGCCGACGAGGATGGCTTTACGCCGCTTCACTTGGCTGTTATTCAGGGCAACTTGGCGATGGTCAATTTGCTGCTGGCGAATAAAGCCGACGTGAATGCGGTCGATAACGAGGGCCACTCTGTGGTGCATTGGGCGACGGGTAAGTAGCCAGCTCTAATGGCAAATGTCAATGGACTGACAACGACATTTCACACCAATACACCGTGTGTAGACTGCATGTGTGAAGCCACAATCGAAAGCGCACGCACCGACATACACCCACACACATGCAACTACAAAGGCGATAAACCATTGTTTCGTTACAGTTTGCGGTGAAGTGGAGGCTTTGCGTTCGGTGCTGGCGGCTGGTGCGAATATTGCGATTCCCGATTTGAACGGTGGCACGCCACTACATTACGCGGCGCAGATGTGTGGCGCCATTGTTGACAACAAAGTGGGTCAAGCTAATGCCACTAAGCTGGCGTTGGAGATACTCGGCATTCTGCTTTCACACCCGCATTCCAGTGTTGACGTACAGGACAAAGACGGTCGTCAGCCGCTGTTGTGGGCCGCTTCGGCGGGTTCCGCGAAAGCTGTCATTGCTCTGGTGAAGGCTGGAGCACGTGTGGAAAGCGCAGATAAGTACGTTGCCACACATGTTGTTTTTTTTTTTTTAGGAAAGTTCTTAAACTAATTTTGTGCTTGCATTTTTGTAGAGATGGCTTGACGGCGCTACATTGTGCGGCCTCACGTGGGCACACTGAATGTCTTGACACACTGATAAGCCTTTGTGGCGCGCCAACGGACCTGATTGATTCGAACGGCTGCACGGCCCTGCATTACGCTGTTACGCTGGGACATGCCGATGCCACCGCACGTCTGCTCGATTTAGATGCCGATCCGAATCGGCAAGACCGCAAGGGACGCACACCGGCRCACTGTGGCTGTGCAAAGGGCCAATTCGAAACGGTTAAACTGCTGAAGGAACGTGGCGCAAATTTGTGGTTGCGCAATGCTAAAGGCGACTTACCGGTGCATGAGGCGAGCTCATCGGGCAGACGTGAGCTTGTCGAGTGGTTGTTGGAACAGCGACCCAAGCACACTAATACCACAAGCAATGACGGACGCAGTCTCCTACATATTGCCGCGAATAATGATTACACCGATGTGTGTAAAATACTGCTGGACTATGGCGGTGATATCAATGCCATATATCGCAGTAGCAAGGGGATGGTTTTCACACCCCTCGACTGCGCCTTACAAAAGGGACATCGCGCAACTGCCAAGTTTCTGCAGTCGCATGGCGGTTTGCCAGCCAGTAAGCTGCGCTTGGCAGCACGACGGGCGAATCCATTTAACGAGGTCAGCAGCGATATGGTGCGTCCGTTGCGATATGTGGAGAAGGAGGAGCTCCACGATTTACAAAACTCCAAAAAATATGTTGTCTACCTGAAACACTCAGACTCGGATGGTGCTGGTGGAGAGGGCGACAGCAACTGCAGCTGCCACGAGCAAACCTATCGCAGAGAACAAAAGTTTGCCCACACCTGTCGACGTCATCAACACACTCGACGGCGGCAAAGTCGACGACGCACCAGCAGTTGTGGTGACCCGAAAGATTGCCACCATCATGACGACGGGGAAGTTGATATTTGTCGATCTAAAAGTAATATTGAGATAAGGCGTAGAAAGTCACGTGAGCGTTACGCTAGCTCAAGCGAATGGGAGGATAGAGCCGACGAAGACAATGAAGAGGACGAAGATTCTTGTGAGAATTGTTGCTATCACAAGCGGCAGAAACAACGTGTTATACGAAGGAAATCCATATCAACACGACGTTCGAAAGAGCGCGATGGGCGAGAACGTGGCAGTGAAAAAGAGTCTTCACCGGAGAAAACTAAAGTAAGAGAGATTGAAGTAGTACGAGAATGCGAGGAAAAAGCGCCAGACGTGAAGGCGGATTCAGCAACACAGCCAAGTGAAGGTAAAGAAGAAGCTAAAGAAAAAGATAGTCGTCCACAATCGGCTACAGTACGTTTGTCAGCAAATACGGCGGGTATCACAGCAAAGGAAGCAACATTTATTAAGTCCACGCAGCAAACTGAAACACAATCGATGGAGTTGACGGATGAAGATGGAAAACCAGGAGCTGAGTTAGTAACTACACAAGTAGATGTGCATCTAGGAGCAGATTCGACTTCTATGACGCAGCCGCAGACAGAGCATATAGAAATGGATGAAGAGGTTAATAATGAGTCGGAAGATATGACCAAGTTGGCCGATGAAATGAAGAAAGAAGTCGATCAGGTAATGAAAATAGCTGCTCTGGCGCTTGAAAGCGACGCGCAGAAGGGTGAAAATGGTAAAGAGATGGAAGAGCAGAATGGAAAGCCGGCCGWTGTGGAGGATAAAGAGTTAACAGAACAAGCGGCGGACACAGTGGAGACAAATGWTGTAAAAAGTGAAGTAAAACCTACCGCACAACCTGAAGAAGCTACAAAAATTGTACCTAATCTAACAGAAACTCCAGCAACGCCAATACCAACACCATTGCCAAGTCCCATACCAGCAGCAATAGCTGAAGAACTTCCTACTTCAGCTGCTGCGCCCAACACGCCAACTCAAGCAGATGAACCACCGTCCAAAGTCGAAGAAATCAAATCATCAGAAACTGCAGATGCACCCGATGCTACTGCAACAGAAGCAGCGCCAGTTCAAACCAATGACTCAGCCGAAGTGGCAGAAACTTCCAAAACCGAACCAGCTGCTGCAATTACTTCCGAAGAAAAATCCGCAGCAGAACCAACTACACTTCCGTCTAGCAATACTTCCGTTAAGCAATCACCACAAGTTGAAGCACAAAAACCGCCGCGTGAATTAGAACCTCGACGTTCGTTCACCTTATTGCCGTCTGATTCAGCCGAAGATGAGGGTGCCGAAGAAGTCGTGCGCAAATCAAGCTTCCAAATTTTGAAAAGTGATGATTCCGGCGGTGAAAGTGCCAGACACCAAGAAGAGCTCGAACTCAGTGACTCGCAGGTCTTCAAAATTGTTTCGGAACCACAAATGCGTTTAGGTAAGCCATACCCAGAAACTGAAGCAAGCTCTATGGACGACGAACATAGAGAAGCTGCTGCCGACGATTATGAACAAGATGAAGATCACATAGATGAGGATTACGATAACGAGGAACTTAAGCAGAATGCAGCAGGTGTGCTTAATCGTCACGGCGTGGGAAACGCAGAGGGTACATTGCCCAACAACGCCGTCCTCGGTGTCTACGATTACTCGAACGGGCGTAAACGTCGTCTGAAGAAGCGTGTACGAAGCGGCCCAAAAACGCGTAGCAATTGGAAAACCAAGACAGATATTACCGACGGAGATGACGAGCAGACGGGAAGTTATGCGCACGCTGCCCAATCCAGCAAAGATCACGATTCCGGTTTCGAGCCAAGCCCTCGTGCTTCGAAGAGTAAAATACCAACACCACGCAACATATACACGGCACATGTGCCGCGACGTCACACCTACGCCACACTCGATGGTCGTTCGCGCAGCGGTCGCGCGGAGGGCCGCAAGCCGGGCGATCGCGGTGCCACTGATATGACAGCGGTTACGCGCTCCATACAACGCAACATCAGAAGGTAATTTCTCTTTGACTTGTTGTTGTTGTTTTTCTTTTTTGTTGTAGTTGCTAGCTATAAAAATTTTATTTGCACCGAATTGAGTGATTCCAAGAATGTCTTCATTTTCGGCGACTCATGACGACCAGCTCTGTGGGTCCATAAAAGGCGCGCATGCCAAAAGCGCAGCAGCGTCCTGTAATTGAGTGTTCACAGTGCCTTCTGGTGCGTGGTGGCTGGTGGCTGCGGCAGCGGTGGTATTTTTCGTTACATTTGCTTAATTTATGAGCTGGCGTAAATACTCGCCACCCTCGCGTCTCGGTGGTGTTTGTATTTGCATAAAATTTCACTACTTCCACGCGCTCCGGCCACTCGCTGCCGGGCCACATGTAAGCCCGTCTGTGAGTTTTTCAATCAACATAGTCCAGGTGCGCCACGCCAGCAGATGCTTCCTGTAATTGTTGATGCATATTTATATGCTCCTCTGTGCGTGTGTTTGCATGTGTGTGTGTGTGTGTGTGTGTGTGTGTGTGTGTGTGTGCGGTGTTATTTATAATCAAGTTTGCATCTTTTTTCCTTTGCAACATCATTCGAAGTTTTATTTACTGTTTAGAAGATTTATGCTGAATTTCAGAGTGGCTCCTGTCCGCAAAGGCACTGTGTACTTGYGCACACAAACACACACTTAATTATGTACCGTTACATTGTTAAATAGTCTTCCTGGCTGCTCGTATTGTGCTTCCGGCTACAATGACCGGCCGAGACGCCATCTATAAATATTTGCCTACACCAACATGCATGCGAGAGCAGGGCTGCTCGGCCTTTGAACTGCGCCAGCYTACCTGTGAGAGCTTGTGTGCTCGTCCATCCGCCAGGATTAAAATAAATTTAKTTAAAATTAAATGACTCGCCATCATTTTTCATTTTTGATTGTCAATTTTTATTTACCGGAGTTCATCGACTGCCGGAGAATGAACGAAAATACTTTGCAATATATACCTACATTTTTACATACATACATATATTACAGGGGTTMTAAAAGGAAAAGTTACAAACGTGTATAAAATTAGACTTCAAGCTCTTGTTATGAGTTTACTTATAAAAGGAAAAGTTACAAACGTGTATAAAATTAGACTTCAAGCTCTTGTTATGAGTTTACTTAACTGTTTCTTTTCCTTCCTTCTATCTGGTGAAGGAGAATGAGGAAGTTTAACCTTGTTACAAAATAATAATTTGTTGCTCGAACTGAGTTCAGATCTTAGAGTATGCTGGACTGTGGACCTTACAACTATTTCCCGGTAGACTCGAAATTATATATGCTGCTTRCGTAGAAATCAGTTAAGTCATATCACTTTTAAGAATGAAATCCAAATGTAACTATACGAAAAAAAAAACAAAACGGTATTTGTTCTCTAGAGCGATGAGAGATCTATTCGACCTATGTATGTAGTAAGCGAAACCTGTTTCATCGTTTGCAGTTTGTGGCAGTGACACTCAGACAAAGAAAAAGTAATGTTCATCGTATTTTTATGTACCACCCTAATGTGCATTTACCCAATCGACTTCACCTGTTCAAGTGTCTTTGGCTGCTGCTGTTGTTGGCTTGAAGCTGAGAATTTAAGTACCTTTTAATGTGGTTCCTTTGCAATCAAAGTGGCATTCATAGCATTTTTGGTGCGATTTTATGGTGGGCTCTTGCGCCCTGAATTTCACTGCTACCAACATTTTTTGGTGAGCATAACAAGAGGGTACACTTGAAATGTTAATATGTGCAAGGCAATGTTTTGGAAAGTAAAATAAAATACGGAAACGACTTTAGTGTGAGGGAAAAGGTAATATTTATATAATATACTTACTTCGTTCGGGACTTTCTGAGTGTTTTCGGGTTTTTAATACTTCTAACATATTTTTAGTTCAAATTTAATTAATTTTGCATGGTATATATAYATAAGTTTACAGTTGCAATRAATTCACTCGTCCTATACTCGTTATAACTGGATTGTTAGTTTTCTGGCTTGATTGATTACGACTTCGCCATCTTACCACAGTTCCGAGTTCAAGATCGTATCGATCTTCTTAAGAAACTCCGCAATATGTTTATCATTGATAAGGCTTTATGTTTAACATATTCATATATACTTTAACTAAATAAAGCTTCCAAAAAATCGTTTTGAAAATTTACTTATTTCGATAATACTAGGGAAAAAAGGAGACTCCTGTTCGCCACAAATTGGATGAGGTTTTCTCTTTATCTCCTCTGTTACCATCTTATATCGCATTGAAAATTCTTGGAGCTAGTACTAATTCTGCTCCAATTCGATTATAAAGTTTCAGACGGCTTATAAGGGGTCTGCAGAACACTGTTGACTTTCTAGTGCTGACTGAAATTTTTTTAATATTTTTCCGATTCTTGTCATTTCAATGCTAAATGAGGCGTAAAGAAACAACAGAAATCATTGTTGTTTGTGCTAAAGTGGATCATGTTTATTCTTTACCTCCGCTCTTACCATCTTATATCGCATTGAAAATTTTGTAGTCTACTCCTCTGCTCCCATTCGGTCACACAGTTCCAGCCGGCGTATCTGAAGTCTTCAGAACACTGTTGAAATTCTATTGTTGCCTGAAATTATTTTATATTTTCCCCATTCTTGTGTGAAGCTATTACGTTGCTGTTTGCGCCGTAAAGTAATAGCTACGATGAAGCGTATACATATAAAATTTTAATATAGTTTCGAAGTAATTTGTAGAGTTGAGAGCTTAGGAAAGTACTTAAATCTACGCCATGCAAAATAACCAGAATGAGTTATCAAAGTTTTTTTAATTCGACTGATCTTATTTCGAATGTCTCTGGTTCCAAGAAGTGGCTAATAGTGTATTATACTAAAAGCGTATAACAGAGAAAAAGAGGCTTTCAAAAAAGTGTAATTAAATCTTATTTTGAATAATACAAGGCAACTCAGCAGGCTCGAAAATGGTATCTAAGAATTTAGAATTAGTCACCTTAAAGGACCTGGCGAAAACGTTAGTCATGATTCTTAAGTAGGTCGTTTACTTTCATAGACCAGATTAGGTGAGTACAAAACTTCATCTTGCGGAGGACTCTATTTCATCTTCCAAGCTAGCAAGTTTCGGTTAGAATTCTCCATTTCGCTTATCAGAAGACTTACTTTCTGGCGCCATCATGCTTCAAGGAGCGTCTACAATATAATTTGCTGAAATTTTGCCAAGAAGAATCTTGCAATCGATAATTCAAACAGCAATTTGTTAAAGCTGTTGTCAGTTTCAGTTATGTTCTTTGATTCCCCTCAGTCTTCCACTTGACCTTCCTTCATAAAATTTTAACGACTTTCGTCCTATAAGGTTTTTAGCATTATCTCATGTCTTTACCTAAATGAGCCCGAAGGACCCTTACGATTGCGTCAAGACGAATTTGGTTAAGAGATCAGTAGATCTACCTCGTTCTACTTAAGGTCGAAGCGAGGTCCATTGATGCTGAAAGCAGATATTAATGAAGATTCAATTCGGTTTCATTCCAAAGAATATGCGGTAAGCGTTTTCTCTCATGCTAGTTCATCGGCTTTGCAGTTGCCAACAATTATGCTATGATCAGGCACCTAAACGAGTCTGATGATGGAGTACCATAAATTGACTCTATTTCTTGTGAGTTGAGATACTCGTTGACTAACTTTGAGCCCACAGTTTCCGGGGTCTGCGCTAATATTGCGGGTGTGCAGTTGGAAAGAAAGCTCACCTTCCCGAAATAGGCTGCATTCTGGCGCAGTACGTCTACAACGAACGTGATAGCAGCCATTTCTGCCCGAAAGACACTACCGTGGCCCGGTAACGAAGCTTGAGCTCCTTATAGAGAACTTCGCCGCACCCAATCAAATGGCCGCAATCTTCGCTTGCTTGCCGTAAATATAATTTTTTTTTGTTCATTTATATTAAAATTTAATAATGTTATCGAAAATTGTTAATAAAATTTTTATTTTTTGTTGCTTATTTATGTTAATGAGCAACTTAATTTTCATTTGTTTATGTACTTAAGTCTGTTTCGCCTGAATCACTGCTGCTTATTTTCAGCCATCTTCCATGCCAGCAACTGTACAGTGAAGCTGAGGCTTCACACACGCGCATACCAGCACTTCGACTGCCGCAATGCTCGCGTTGACAGAGAGATAAAGAACCGTTATGAGCCCATTATAAAATCTTCAATGCCTCGCTTAATGCGTGTTGTTTGTATAATTGCCGTTGCTGTAATAAAAACAATACAACTAATGTGCAACAACAACAAATCAACAAATTAACAATAGCAAATCCGGCAGCGATTGCGTGGAAACGCACCAACAACAACAATTTCAACTTGCCTAATAGTCACTTATTAGTTGACAGCGGCACAGACAGTATGCCAGCGCGGGTGTGTGTGAGTGTTTGTTGGGATGTCGCTGTCGCAAGTCACTTGTTAATACATACATTTAAGATGTGTGCATTTGCCGCTTAGTGCTTGTAATTGTGAACTATATAAACGCATTGCTGGTGCCACCTTCAGCCTCGCAACACCGTGGCTGTAGTTGTTGTTGCTGTTGTCATTGTCATTGTTGCTCACTATTTGCATTCGCGCTAATGCCAAATGTAAGCAGCATTAACAGGGATTTAGTTTTGCTAAGATGTCGCTCTAACCCGCGGCGCCACCCTAACCGCCTCATGCTGCCGCCCACTCTCTACCGCATTGTTGCAAGCGCGTGCTTGTGTGTGTGCGTCGGTTTGTTGTTATTAGCGCCGCTCAGCCATTTGCTCGCTGCCTCATCCACGCCATTTCGTGTTTTGTGTTTATCGCCACTTTGCCGATTAAGCAGCTGTTGTTGTTGACTGTGTGCGCCTTGTTGTTGTCGCCTGCCATCGCACGGATCTAAATTAAACGCAGCCCCAGCCGCAGGTCTAAATTCTCACAGTAAACTTTTAATTCCCGTAAATTACTTTATACTTGTCGCATCGCATCTTCACCACACGTCACCCCAGCC